TTATATATTATAGGTAAAAGACCTTTGTTGGATATGTGATTTACAGGTATTTTCTCCCAGTCTGTGTCTTGTCTTTTCATCATCTTCATAGGATCTTTTACAGAGAAAAAGATTTTTTATTTTGATGAGGTCCAGGTTATCAGTATTTCCTTTTGTGGATCTTGCTTTTGATGTTAAGTTCTAGACTAGTATTGAATTTAGTCCTAATATGACTCTGCCTTTTTTTTCCCTTGCCATATAAAAAACGTTGCAACATAAGTTGAATTTCATGATTCTGGATCTTTTAGCATCCAGACAAGTGAACTTAAAGAAAATAGATTGACACTAAAAGGAAATAAAACTTGAATCTGCTAAATTGGGGTAGTGTTAAGTTAAAATATCCATTACAGTGTTCTGAAATTGTTGATGATGATGATGGTGTGTTTTGGGGTATGTGTTTAGGTGATCATGTGTATCAGGATTGTGCTGTACATGTATTTTATTTTATTTTTGGTTTTTTGTGAGGAGATCAGCCCTGTGCTAACGTCTGCCAATCCTCCTCTTTTTTTGCTGAGGAAAACTGGCCCTGGGCTAACATCCGCCAATCCTCCTCTTTTTGCTGAGGAAAACTGGCCCTGGGCTAACGTCTGCCAATCCTCCTCTTTTTTTGCTGAGGAAGACTGGCCTTGGGCTAACATCCGTGCCCATCTTCCTCCACTTTATATGGGACGCCGCCACAGCATGGCCTGCCAAGCAGTGCCTTGGTGCGCGCCCGGGATCCGAACCCGCGAACCCCGGGCTGCCGCAGCAGAGCACGAGCACTTAACCGCTTGCGCCACCGGGCTGGCCCCTGTGCATGTGTTTTATTATCTCAAAAACTCTGCAATGTAGATATTATCTCCATTTATGCTTGTGTATGTGTGTGTGTACATACATATATAATTATTCCTGTGTTACAGTTGAGGAAACTGAAGTTCAGGAATGTTAGGTAATTGTGCCCATGGTCCTATAATAAATGACAGAACCTGGACTTAAAGCCAGTTCTTTTTTTGGCTCCAAAGCCTACACTCTAACAACTGCATTGCATTTTTTGTTGCAAAGTGTACCTTATGTAACTCATGAGAATCAAACTTGACCTTAGTGCTATGGTTCTGCCTGTTACTCTTAAAGTCTATCTACTGTCTGATTTTCAACCTGCTATAGTAAGTCAGCATTTCTTGTTTTATCAACTTTAGTGTTAACCTATTTGGTTAACCCATTTGGGTATATTGGAAATAGACCTTTTCTCTGTGTTTTATTTCTTAGATATAAAATTGATAATATCATGATCAGCCTGCAGTTTACACTATTGTTGTAACACACATCGTCTATAAGAATTTGTGTCACTCTTGAACTGTCAGTTTAAGAAAATTTATAATATTCCCTAAAATTTTATAAATTTAACTTAAAATTTTTACAAATTTGGTTCCTCTGCTTCCATTCAATGTATCTCCAAGGTAAATCAACAACATAGCTTTTCCATGTAGGAAAAAGTTATTGTTCATTGGTGAGGGTACACGAGTAGAGGAGGGATGGGGAGAAGCCAGCCAGTAGCACCCCACTTTTATATTCCATTTGGTATAGTGAAGAAATGACTAACGTATATATTTTAAAATGTAACAAAGGCAGTTTCAAAGATGACTTTACCAAGTCATATTATTTCTCATGAGACAGTAATGCTGTTTCTTGGAAGTCACTGAAATAGTTTATATATTACAAATAAATGGCTAGATTAAGTAAGTATTGTGCTATATTCCTTTTATAGTGGCTTTCTTGTCTGTCAGGCTAAGATTCAAATTACTATGAATATTGTTAGCATTGTCTGGTTTCATGTATACTAAATCAGAGTTCACAGAATTCATGTTCATGGAGCTTTTTGTATTTCTAAAATTCTTGCTATATTCAAAAGAAAGATAGCTTTTAAGTACTTCCTAGCCTAACTTCGTCTTCTTTGCTAAACTACAGCTTAGATTTAATGAGATATGTTCAGAAATTTGCATGAATCTACCCTCCATTCTCATTGCCCCTCGGAACCTCTGTATAGTACTTGAATGCATGATCTGTCTGTGGAGGCCTTTTTTTTTAAGGGTAGATAACTCCCGAAATTGAATATTTTCCATAATCTTTGGTGTGACTTAGACACTTAATTGCTCTTTTCTAGAGTACTAAATTTTTAAGAGTAAGAATATAAGTTTTTAAAGACACTCTAATAAATATTAAACAAAATGTTCATTAGATTTTTGATTGGAGTATTTTGGGTCTTCATCTTTTAAAATAAGGTTTTTGTTGTATGAGAAACAGCACTTTACTTTGATGAGAGTTTTCTTGGTTACCATTCCTTTTGTTTGTTTGTTTTTGTGTGAGGAAGATCAGCCCTGTGGTAAGATCTGCCAATCCTCCTCTTTTTTTTTTTTTTTTTTTGCTGAGGAAGACTGGCCCTGAGCTAACATCCGTGCCCATCTTCCTCCACTTTATATGGGATGCCGCCACAGTGTAGCTCGACAAGCGGTGCGTCGGTGCGTGCCAGGATCCAAACCGGCGAACCCCAGGCCACCACAGCAGAGCACGCGCATTTAACCGCTTGTGCCACCAGGCCAGCCCCTCTTGGTTACCATTCTACAGAATATACTTAGAATATGTTAATAGGACTGACGCTTCCTCCCTCCTCCCAAGCAAATAGCATCATTAGAAAGGTTGTTGAAGTTATGCCTTTATTATAACTCCTCAGATTTGGGAGTACCTAAGCCACCTCATAATTCTGTCACTAAGTAGTAGGGAGTGAATGAATCTTAAAAGATTTCTTTGACTTTGCTGAAAACCTTAGTATTTTCGGATTGGACTATGAATGATACATTTTAACTTTGTTTTTTTAATTGGAGATACAGTCCTGCCCCTCTTTTTCTACTTACCCAGTCGTCATCACATAGTCTTGCATTATTCAGCCAGCCTTTCACCACCACTGGTCAACTTGATGTTACCTCACCTGTCAACCTGGAGTTACCTCTTAGCCAGGTCATCCTACACAGCACTGCTCGCCATTAGCCTTCAGGAAAAGCGTCTTTCATCACATCACTTCCTTTGCTAAAACGTCTTAAAAGCTGCTTCATTGCCTGGAAGATAGAAAGCCCTAAGTGGGTGGTGGCTATTTTAAATTATTACTGCATTTCTTTCTTCTCTGGACTCCCCTAACCCTTATTATCTTCACATAGTTAATCATTTCCCGCCCCACCCCCCCAAAGCCCCAGTAGATAGTTGTGTGTCATAGCTGCACATCCTTCTAGTTGCTGTATGTGGGACGCGGCCTCAGCATGGCCAGAGAAGTGGTGCGTCGGTGCGCGCCCGGAATTCCAACCCGGGCCACCGGCAGCGGAGCGCGCGCACTTAACTGCTAAGCCACAGGCCGGCCCTCACATAGTTAATCCTTGATTGTGCATGATACCATTCTCAGTTTCATCTTGTGTGAAAAGTGTGAGCTTCCTAGATTGAAGGATATCAATCATACTTTAAAAAAAATAATCCCTAAAGAGTTCAGTTATCGAAATGAATTGCATTGTATTCAGTGTGTATTAGTTATCAAGATTTTAGTTTTCTACAGTTTTTTTTTCATACTTGTCCACAGACAACTGTATTATTGGAGTACCGTTTTTAACATCTGTTAGGTATCCACTGAGTACACAATGTAAAGCTAGGAAAGGTATCACATGCTTGCGCCATGTCTGTGTTTTCTAACATTTTAGTTTATGTCCACACTTAAAACCAGATTATTTTTTACCAAATCTGTAACAGTTGTATCAAAGAAGTTGAGATATACCTCTGTGATTAAAAAAAAAGACAAACTTGTTTTTATTGGCTAGGTTATTTGAAATCATTTTCTCATAAAATATAAGACATTATTCTGTTCTTCTAGGTTTTTATGATTTTTTCCCTCTTGGAAGCTAAAAAACTTACCACATTAAAATGAGATAACAGTTGGGGGGTGTTTTTATTCTCTTTGACATTTATTTATTTATTCATTTACTCTGTGCTTGGCACAGTTCTTCCATTATTCTCACAACAAACTTAAGAAATATGGAATGTCCCAAATTTCCAAAGAAACGGGCTACAAGATCACAGAGCTCATAAACTATAGTGCTGTTCCTAGACTGGCTGATCCCAGAGCCTCTGTACTCTGCAATGATGAGGCGTCCATCATTGTTGTTGTGCTCCTATACAGGCAGTTTCGGAAAAATGAAACTTAATTTTAAATGTGGGTAAAACATTTAAATTATTAGCAATAAATTATGACGTAGTGCTAATAACAATTGTCAGAGGAAATGCTGCATCTACCATTTTGAAAATTTTCAAACAGAAAAGTTAAAATAGTAAAACAATTAAGACCATATACCCTTCACCTAGATTCACCAGTAATTAACATTTCTCCACGTTTGCTCGCCTTTCTCTCTCTCTCTCTCAAGTTTCAGACATCTTGGTACCTTATCCCTCCTTGAGCCTGAATTTCTTAAAAATTAGGTTGTTGTCCTTATAACCGTTATCACACCTAAGAAATTTGACATTAATTCCATGTTACCTGTTGTTCATTCAGTATTTCCCCAGTTATTCAAAAAATGTCTTTTATAGCTGATTTTCTTTTTGTAATTTCCTTCTCCAATCCAGTATTCAGTCAAGGTTTATTTTTTTGTATTTGGTTTTATATCTTGCCAATCTCTTTTAATCTTTTTGTTTTGTTTTTTAATGTCTTTGACTTTTTTCAGGAGTCCAGGCCAGTGTCTTTAGAATGTCATGCATTCTGAATCTGATTGTTTCCTCGTGATTAGATTTACTTAAGTGTTTTGGCAATAATACAACATTTGTGATGATGTATGCTTCTGATTACACTATATCAGAAGGCGTCTAATGCCAGCTTTAAAGTTCTGATCTATTAATTTATAATTCTCAGCAATAAAGACCTAATTGTTTGAATTCTTTTTTCACTTTTCAAATAGACAACAACTGAACGACCTTTCATTCAGAAGCTTTTTCGACCTGTGGCTGCAGATGGACAATTGCATACACTAGGAGATCTCCTCAAAGAAGTTTGTCCTTCTGCAGTTGCTCCTGAAGGTAATATAATCTGCAACATTAAAACCTTTCTTTAATTTCTCTTTGTTACTGAGGTAACATAAGCATTCTGCACTTATAAATAACATTTACTGGTTACTTCAGGAAAATATTTTCATTATTTTTAGGGAAAAATCTTTTGAGACAGAAGCACTTAATATTTAATTTATTATTTTATAAATTATTGACACTAACAAAATAAGGAATTGACTCTCTTTGGCAAAATAAAATACACCATTTTTAAATTACCTTCTTATCACATCTCTGGTAGCCTGGGTCTTTCATTTGTGGGTTCAGTTCTGGTATATATTATTTTCAATCTTGCATTGTGTTTCTTCATTCTAAAGAAATAAGAGATGGTAAAAAAATTTTCTTACCTTTGGTTGATATTTTGAGTAAAAAATACTGAATAATGGGTAAGTATTTTATTTCAGTTCTCTACTACTTTGTAATGTTTTACTCAACATAGTTCTCTTAGGCTTTGACATTTCAGGTCCAGTCAAGAACTTGTCCTGTTTCATAGTCCTCATTTTGTAGCTTAGTTTAAAATTGTTTTCCAGTAGGCAAAGGAAAACTATAAAAAGTGCTGAATTCTGTTTTCTTACTTGCAGCATAAGGAATGCTAAGAAAATGCAGAAAACAGTGAGAGAAAAAAAATATACTGTAGTCCCCCAATTCACAGAGACCACTCTTGACATACACATGCGTATGTACACTTGAATATTTGAAAGGGGAGTGTGTGTGTGTGTGTGTATAAAATTATATGTCTTGCTGCTTTTTTCACCTAATGGAATATGAGCATATTTTTAATCATTAAAAATTCTTTAAAGCTATTTTTTAAAGAGCAACACTAAGGGCCTTCATATCGATGTACCATCATTTGATCCTCCCTCTGTTACTGAAGGACTTGTAATCCTAGTCCTATTAATTTATCACTAAGCTATAGGGGAAATTTCAGTGGCGTATTACCGTATTTGTTAATATATTGCAAAGACTTGTATTTATTATGCAGTCATGTGCCATATAACAACGTTTCAGTCAACTATGGACTGCATATATACAACAGTGGTCTCATAAGATTAGTGCCCTGTAGCCTAGGTATGTCGTAGGCTATACCATCTAGGTTTGTGTAAGTACACTCTTGATGTTTGCACAACTACAAAATTGCCTAACGATATGTTTCTCTAAATGTATCCCTGTGGTTAAGCGACACATGACTGTACAGAGAAAAATTCCAAACTTGCTACTTTAAATTCTTTATGGAAAGAGGTAAGGCATTAGTAAATATAAAAGTAATACTTTAGTAGATAATGCTGTTTTTCTTATTAACATATTCTAAATTGGGATGATTGCAGTGTTATTTACATGACTTGAAACTATATCTTACAGTTCAAGAAGCATATAGTAACTAAGGAAATGGTTTACCTAATAAGTAGAAATAGCAACAGAGTAGGATTGGGGGGAATGTTGATATTTCAGCCTAAATGACTAAACAAAGAATATGGAGCTGAAAACATGTGTCATTGGTCTGTGAATATAGCTGTTTTCTTTAATCAAATATGCTTGCCTTTCCTGGCATTCCTATGTGATCTAGCTCTTCTGTAATGCACAAAGGCTCAATAGGAGGGGTGAAGAGGGATAGCCAAAATACCATCAGAACCAGTACCAGAAGGGGTTTATGAGAAAGATCATCGACCACTACTCAAAGTTATTGAACTTGAACAGATTTCATTGATTTAGGAGGTTATAAATATATTTTACAAGATCTCACTGTATCATTTGTCATCACTGTACTCTACTAGACTATAGTCAAGGTTTTTGATAGTGTCTTACACATCCTTGTATCTCTAGTGTTGGGGTAAATGTTCACTCAGTATTCCAATTACTGAATTCTTTCTTTGTGTCATTATTTGAAACATTATTTATGATCATTAAATTATGGTATAATTAGCATTAAGTTGATTATAATACTATCTTAGAATCCTAATTTATCTTTATTGCTGTGTAATTTTAGTTTTTAGTAAGAGTTTCAGTTAAATAATTTATTTGGCAATTCGGTGATTTTTATTTTTAGTGAATTTATCGAGTTCTGCAGCCATCACCACAATCTAGTTTTAGAACAGTTCCGTCACCTCAAAAGTTCTCTGTGCTTGTTCACAGCTAATTTCTGCTCCCACTGCAGAAGACAACTACTGGTCTGTTTTCTGTCTGTAATTTGCCTCTTTTGGATGTTTCACATGAGTGGAATCATACAAAATTGCAAATGGTTTTTTTCACTTAGTGTAATGTTTTTGGGTTTCATCCAAATTATGGGATGTATCAGTAGTTTGTTCCTTTTTATTGCTGTATAGTATTCTGTTGGGTGTATATATAACATTTTGTTTATTCATTGACCATTTGATGGGCACTTGGATTATTTCCAGCTTTTCAGTGTATGAATAATGCTGCTACGATCATTTGCATGTCTGTGTGTGGACATACGTTTTCATTTTTCTTGGGTAGATTCCTAGGAGTGGAATGGCTGGGCCCTATGGTAAGTTTGTGTTTAATTTTTTTAAGAAACTGCTAAACTTTTATAAACTGGCTGCGCCGTTTTACAGTTCTATCAGCAATGTATGGGGGTACCAGTTTCTTCACATCCTCACCAGCATGTTTTTTTGTCTTACTATAGCCATCCTAGTGGTTATGTAGTGGTATCTCATCATGGTTTTAATTTTTATTTCTCTAATGACTAATGATATTGAGTGTGTTTTCATGTGTGTATTATTTGTGGATATATTTGATGATATGTCTATTCAAATCCTTTTCTCATTTTTTCAGATTGTCTTCTTATTACTGAGTTTGAGAGTCATTTATATATTCTGGATACAAGTCCTTTATCAGATGTATGATTTGCAATTATTTTCTCCTAGTCTGTGACTTGTCTTTTTATTTTCTTTTGAAGAGGAAAAGTATTTAATTTTGATGAAGTCCTATTTATCAAGGTTTTTTTTAATGTTTTGTGTTCAGTTAAATAATTTAAAAATATATTTTTATACTGTTGAAAATCAAAAAGTATTTAAAGGAATTTAGTGAAAAGTCTCTCACTCAGCTCCTATTCACTAAACCCTAATCCAGTTCCCCTCCAGAAACAACCAATGTTGCCATTTTTCTGTATATCCTTACAGAGATAGTTAAGTAAACTTTTTATTTTTGAACTCAAGTCACAGAAGTTTTGAGTGGGCAAGTCCCAGTAACTTTTATTGATTCAAGAATAATCTTACTGTTCAGTTCATTTTCTCCATGCTGTAAGGGTTTGTTTGTTTAATCCATTTCATGTCTATCTATTTTATGTCTATTTTGTTACATTCTTAAGGATTTGGGACTATAGACTAGTTTTTCCATTTGAAGTGTAATTCAGAGACTAATCATTTTTATTGCTAACAGAGATGGGACCCATAAGCCTCATACTTGCCCCTACAGCAAGCATTGGCTTTCAGTCATTTATTTCTCTGTACTGTATTTTTATCCTTTTTTGAGTACTTTGTAGTATTTTAAAGAACATTGAAAAACTACTTTTATCAATTGAGTCTTTGAAATTTAAGCTAAAGCTTAGTATTTAAATGTCTACCTCTGTTCTTAGATGTGTTTTTGTTTTTTATTTTTTGCTGAGGACGATTAGCCCTGAGCTAACATCTGTTGCCAATCTCCCTCTTTTTTTTGCTTGAAGATTAGCCCTGAGCTAACATCTGTGTCAGTCTTCCTCTATTTTATATGTGGGTCACCCCCACAGCGTGGCTGACGAGTGGTGTAGATCTGAGCCCAGGATCCAAACCCATGAACCCAGACCACCAAAGCGGAGCACACCAAACTTAACTACTAGGCCATGGGGCCAGCCCCTCTCAGATATTTTTTGACAATCTACTTTCAAAAACATTATGTCATTTAAAATTTACTTCTTTATAAGAAGTAAATTGACTGTTGAGAGAGAATATCACAATGAAACGCAAAACCTTGGAAGAAAACTGTTCTACTATAATGATCTGTCCCCCAGTCAGCAGCTTAGTTGTCAACCAATACACAGAATGAAAAGAGAAAACTTACTTGAGGAGAGCAGGAAGAAATTGGTTGGGTGTTAATTTTGTATTTGACATCTTTAAAGAATCATATAACTGTAGAACCTTAGAGTTAATTTAGTTCAGTCTCAATTTTTTAGATGATTTGTTACAAGTCTCTTAGCTACCTAATTGCAGAACTAGGTTTAGAACTCAAGTCTCCATCTCCTGGTCCATTGGGTTTTCCACTTTACTGTGCTACCGTTTGTTTTCATTTTCACTTTTTCAACCTTTTAACTTTTTTGTTTAGTTTAAAATAACATTCTGAAATGTTTGCTTTTTCCTAACTCGTTATTCTGTGATTTGTGTTTTAGTACCTAATCTCATCCTTATAGTATTTTCTGGTATCTTAGGAACCTGAACTTCCATTTTTGTGATTTTGTTCATTTTGTTATTTTAGATTTCCTGTATATAGTTCTGGCCACTCTTGTTGAATTTATTAAAATGGTGGCTATGACGTTCAGGCACGTAAATGAAGAGCAGTCATGTGCTTTGAGCTGATGCACTCTGTCGGGAGCACCTTCGTGCTCTTCTGCCTCTTACACCTAGATCACAACAATACATACAAAGTTAACATAGCCCTGCTCAAGAATGGCATGCAAATTTGTGAGGCTTTTTATTGCTTTACAAACTGTTTATTCTCTACTAAATTTTTGGCGTGCTCTAGCTGCACGTCTATTCCTGAAGAATACACAGTGTGATTTCCCTTGTATTTTCTTGAAGCTGGGGCTATGACGTAGCCAGCCACTCACAACTCTGATCCACAAACCTACCTCTTAGGCGATTTCAGATGCTGTAGGTGGTTATCTTTGTGTGACAGACTGCTTCCCACCCAGACTGTCACGTGCTTATATTGATCGGACAACACACACATACCACACACACACTTCACTGAAATGATATAAGTAG